CCTCAAATCTCTCTTTCAACATGGCTTTTGCTTCATTGACCACATGAATATTTGTACCAAATATCAACATGTTATCTACATACAAACATATGATAGTGCAGGTGTTATTCTCTAACTTGCACTAAATACACTTGTCACATTCATTCACCTTAAAGCCATGTGAGAGAATTAGAGTGTCAAGCATCTCATGCCACTGTTTTGGAGCCTGTTTCAAACCATATATGATTTGTCTAACTTACAGACTTTCGAGGCATGTTCGTTGATAACAAACCATTCTGGTTGTTCCATATTGATTTCTCCATGCAGATCACCATTCAAAAAGGCAGTTTTAACATCCATCTGGTGTACCACGAGATTGTTCAAGGCAGCAAGAGAAATCATGACACGAATGGATGCTATTCTAGATACTGGTGAACAGGTATCAAAGAAATCTATATTCTCTCTATGTCTGTAGCCCTTAACTACTAGGCGAGCTCGGAACCTTTCAATTGCACCATCAGGTTTCCGTTTCATTTTTAGAACCCATTTATTACCTAAGACTTTGCAGCCAGGAGGTAAGTCTGTTAGATGCCAAGTCTTATTAGCTTCCAACGATTCCATTTCATCTATAACGGCCTCATTCCAAAAATCTGCATCTATGGAAGTTAAAGCTTCCTGCAAACTTTTGGGATCTTTGAAGGTGTATATTGTAGTAAAGTCATCACCAAAATCTTTGGAGATTCTAGCTCTTTTACTTCTTTTGAGTTCATCCTCAGATCCAACACCCCCACTAGTTCCATTATCTCTAATAGCGGGTAGTACATTACCCCCACTATTTCTCGTTATAAATGGAAATCGTGTCTCAAAGAAATCAGCATAAATGGATTCTTTTATAGTACGAGCATTCAAATAATAGAATCTATATGTCTTACTATTGGCCGCATAGCCAACAAATACACATTCATATGCTCGACTAGTCAACTTAATCCTCTTAGGATCCGGAATTCTTACGTAGGCCAAACAACCCCACGTTCTTAAATAGGACAAATTACGTGGCTTATTCTTCAAGATCTCATAGGGTGATTCTTTTCTATTTGTTTTTGGAAGACGATTTAGCACATGGCAAACCATCAACAAAATATCACCCCACCAAGAAGAAGCAGCTCCAGAATTGAGCATAATAGCCACAACTAATTCTGTAAACGTCATATTTTTTCGCCCAGCTTTACCAATCATTTCTGGTGAATATGGTGTCGTGGTTTCATGAATGATACCATGTGAGCTATAGAATTCCTTGAAGGAATTAGAGTCATACTCTGATCCTCTATCACTCCTAAGTCTTTTTATCTTTCGATTGCACTGATTTTCAAATTCAACCACAAATACCTTGAACATATCAAGGGCTTCACTTTTGTTTTTCATCAAATAAACAAAACAATAATTAGAGCAATCATCTATGAAAGTGATAAAGTATCTCTTGCCAGATCTAGTTAACGTCCCATCTAGTTCTCAAATATCATAATGAATCAGATCTAAGGGTTCTGACTCTCTACTCACAGATTTATGGGGCGTTTTCGTTATCTTAGCTTGGCTATAGAAATCACATTTATCAAATTTATTCATTGAGAGTTTAGGGATATGTCCTAACTTGCCTAAATTCTTCACAATCCGTGTGTTCACATGACAAAGACGAGCATGTCAAACATTCAAATCACACACCATGTAAACTGAAGAATTCATCTTATTAATTTCGAAATTCAACTTGAACACCCCATTACATGCATATCCCTTTCCCACAAAACTCCCATTCTTAGTAAGGGTATACAAGTCTGCCCCAATAGATTGATTAAACCCAGCCTTATTAAGAAGATATCTCGAAGCAAGATTCTTCCTTATCTTTGGAGTGTGCAACACATCCTTGAGCACCATCTTTTTCCCAGATGTGAAGTTCAGCTCCACTTCACCAGAACCAGCAACCATAGTGGTGTGGGTAGTCCCCAGCAGCACTTTCTTGTCAGAAGGTGCTTCTATGTATGTTTTAAACATAGCACGATTGTTGCAAACATACCTCGAGATGCACCATTCTGGTGGGGGCGGACTTGCTGGTTCTTACTCTTGAAACCTTTCTGGTTAGGTTTAAGAGCTATAGGGGTGGGTCGTTTAGGAGTGACGACCATCACCTCTTCTTTCATATCCTGCTTGCGGGACTCTTCCTTAATCCTTAGGCGAGTAATCAAGCTTTCCAGTGAAAATTCTTTAGTTTTATGTCTAAGCATATTCTTAAAATCTTTCCACGAAGGGGGCAACTTATCAATAATGCAAGAAACTTGAAACTGATCGTCCAGAGGCATACCTTCAGAGACAATCTCATGAGCTATTTTCTGAAGTTCATGGGATTGAACTTCGACGGACTTGTCATCCACCATCTGGTATAGCAGGTAGCGGCTGACAGCATACTTCTTAGCTCCAGCCTCCTCCGTGTCGTATTTCTTTTGGAGCGCATCCCAGATCATTATTGCAGTGTTCTTGTTGTCCGCATAGTAGTCGTAGAGATAGTATGCCAGGACGTTGAGGATGTAGTTCTTGCACAAGAAGTCATGCTCCCTTTCCTTAGCAGAAGCAACCCTCTCCTCATCGGTCGCTTCTTCCGGCAGCTCGACGGGCATGCTAGTGAGGCAGTGTGCCAACTTCTTGGTCGTTAGGTAGAACTACATCTTTTGTCTCCAGCGACGCAAGTTGACTCCAACGAAGCGGAAGGGTCGATTGATATCGACAGCACCAGATCCGACCATGTTGTTATGTTCAGTTGACATAGCAGCAACCAGACGTCTTAAAATTGTTAGGAACGGAACAACAACAAGAACGAGGTTACCAAATCTGGAGCTGAGTCACGTACTAGGCCGCTTTCTTTAAGACGTTCGTGGCACTGCCCTCGATGCGCACGACAGACTATCAACTGATCGTCTTCAGGATAAAACAACTCCTCTCTATACTCGTGGTTTTGTGCTAAAACCAGAGTTCTATAAACACTCTCTCTATTTGTGTTTATGCTCGTATTTTTTGGTATGTTTAGAGGGTTTGAGGAGGCGGCTATTTATATTTTATAGTAGCCGAACCCCTAAGAATATACCCGGGGAATAAGTTGGTTTTAATTAGGAAGATAATTACTTCCTTAATTAAAACGCGTCTGTAAGATAATTCCTGCGGAATTATCCTTCGAATATTCCTTTTAATCGATTATCCTCTTCCAACTCGTATTTTTCAAGTATAAAGAATAACCGATTAATAATTTATTATTGGATAATTAATTTCGTTCGGAATTTCTCCAAAAAATATATAGTCTCAAGGGAACCAACCAACCGGACAAACGGCGCGCGCGCGGGGGTATGTGGTAGTTCGTTAGGTCTTTCCTCTCCCACAAAAGTGAGTCACCCCAAAGGGCATGCCCTTAGGAGAGAGACTCCTATCTTTATACTCATTTCACCAAAGTAAAACTACCAATGTGGTAGTTTTTCCACCTTAAAACTCTAAAGCTTTCAAAGCTATTCATTCATTCATTTCCAACAGTAACATAAGAGATTTGGTGCATGTGGAGATAAGAATCAACAGAGTTTGTGATGCAATGTGTAAAGGGGTGTGCCTCCAGTGTGACACTAACTTGAACACCAGCACCTGTAACTGCAGCAGCGAGAAGGCCTCCGGAAAAACCTATGGCCCTCTTGGAAATTTGAGAGAACAAATGCAATCGAAGTTAACCCTGTGTCTTGTTAATGAAATAGAAACCAGTTCCATAGCTAATTGCTTTCCCTTTTTGTCTTCGTATCTGATAGCATGAGTTCTAATACTGAAGGAAGTTTATTGTTCTTGTAACAACAATCAAACCTATCAATTCCATAGTCAAAAGATCCACAAATTTACAGCGAAATCTGTCTACTTTGTGACCAAATAACAAAGTCAAATTCCTTTAACATATGAGGAGACAAAAACCAAAAACAGAGCATGACAAGCTACTGAATGAGTCATTCTGTTACCACTATGACCAATGAATCTTAATGTAATCTACCCACAAATTTCAAGATTACATGTTATATGTGATTTCACTGTTTTTTTTTGTTTCATTTTTGGACAGATATCATGATATTGGTGCACCATGTAATTCTAGAATTCATGTGACCATGATATCTCAAATGCTTTGGGTTTTACCCAAAGCATTTGAGATATCATGGTCACATGAATTCTAGAATTACATGGTGTTACCCAAAGTATTTGAGATTTCATGCCAAATTATGTGGGTTCTACCATGAACTCATGCAAGCCAAACAATGCATTCTAATATTACACAAGTTCTCACAACTCAACCTACAATATACATGAATTCTTCAAATACATGAATTCTACATTACGTGCTTACCAAACGACCCCTTAGACTACTTTTGTTCATCAAGTCTGTTAGAGACACGTTTTCTAAGGAAAACGGGTTTCTATATCATTATCGTTAGGTTTTATTAAATATGGTTAGTAGTCTTCTAGTAGAATTAGGTTTATTCTTAGGGTTTTCTAGTATTTCCCTATATATATGTACTATGGGTCATTCATCATATTAAGCAGAAATTAATAAGAAAAGTCATCTCCCAAAATCCCTAATCTTCTCTCAATCTCGTCTATCTTTCTCTCTAAAGGCTTCGGCCATTCTATCTCTGTTCTTCCCCAAATTCTCTTCTCAAATCCCTAAATCCCCAATTCTGTTCTATAAACCCTAAATCCTCAATCTCTAGATTTGATCTGGAGACCCGTTAGAATGTTTCTAACAAAGTCGAGTAAAACACATTCTTCATTTATAAATCCCAGCCAGTTATGAGTCTAAATTTGGAATTGGACCTTAGAAATCAGTAGGCCCATATTGATAAGCTCAATTTTCAGTTCAGGCTTTCAGCCATGGTCCTACTCCCATCCCAAAACCATCCCATCGGAGCAAGCACGTCATTCGCGTGACCGACACGCACGGAAGAGTCGAAGACTAACACGTAAGCGTCCACGTCATCGCGCGTTCTCATTCTTTCCCATGTGCAGCCGCCACACCGTATCCTCTCCAACCAATAAACGCGGGACGGGGCACGGCTTCACAAACAAAGACTTCAAATCGCACATTCTAGAGGGAATTTGGGGGAAAAAAGCTTCCGTCTCCACTCCGCTTCAAATTCTAGGGTTCCTCGTTCTCCCATTCCGCTCCAAGCTTTCAAGAGATCAATTACGATGGTGAGTTTCCCTTCCGCCTCCTCCTTTCTTTTCAGATTTCTCTCTGCGAGATCTGCTTCCTTTTTTGAAACCGGATAAAGCAAGGACATTGTAAAGATGATTGGCTGAGATCAATGCTACCATCTGCGATGGAATTAACCCTAAACGGCTCTCTCTTATCGTTTTATGGGATTCCCTCTTCTGCCCTCTTCCTCTGGCCTTCTCGAATTGGGGATGAGTGAGCTTCGGAACTAGTTTTGAATTTGTTGGGCTGTTGTTGTAGGAAGCGAAATCAGTGCATGGCGTTGCGTTGGTGATGTCGGATGAGCAAGTGGTGCAGATGACCACCATTAATGATGCGCTGAGGGAGCTCGGCAATGAAGCTTTGCAGTGTGACGTTCAGCTCTATACTCAGTCATCCTCTCAAAGTAAAACCTTCCGCTCAGTATCTTTTCAGTTTTCTCTATTAGTCATGCTGTTGCAATCGTCTGTTGCTTTGGATGTTTCCTGATCAATACAGTGCACTATTGGCTAAGCAGATTGTTCATGGTTTTTTATGCTTGTGGGGCTTCAGTGAGCAATGTTATTGTATAATTCCTTGTGAATATTATGGGGCTCCCTTTCAGTTCGTAGTGCTGCTGTGATCGCTGATCAGAGATCTGGTCTTTGCTAAATAAGTGTCCTTTTCCGGATTTTCTGCTGCTAGGTAAACTACCGGTGGAGCCATCCTCAATAGACTTTCTGATTTGCATCAGTAGATCACATGAATATCCTGGTGGGAGTTGGTTTGATGAAATTTCGCGGGCGTTAAAACCTGGTGGTACTCTCCTTGTCTATAAGATTCTGCAGTCTGCTCCAAGGGAAACCGAGAAGGTGAATATTTCTTGCTATTGAATGCTACAAACATGAGTTTATAGTTGGATATCTCACACTGGTGTTCATTTGCAGTCACTTGAACGCCAATTACTTTTGGCTGGGTTCTTGGATGCTAAAGGTGTTCAGCGGAGCTCAAATGCTGTTCTGACTGTTGTGGTGAGTTCTGAGTTTCTTCTTGTTGAAAAGTTTTTCACTTTATATGTGATTGCAATGAAATTCACCATGTGAACATGTGCTGGCTTATTGAACAACCTTGTGTGCGTTTTTCTGTGGAAGTGATCAATGTCATGAATGTTGAGTGTGATTGATTAATGTTTTCTACTCAGATTGTGAAGGCAAAGAAGGCTTCTTGGAAAATTGGGACATCATTTGCTCTCAAAAAGGGTACAAAAGCGCCGGTGAAGCTTCAGATTGATGATGATTCAGATTTGATAGACGAAGATAGCCTTTTGACCGAAGAGGATTTGAAGAAACCTCAAATACCAGGTGAGTTAAACAACACGCAACTGATGATTAAATGTAAGTTGGCTCCTTTTTTTCATGAAGGAGAACTTAAACCAACCACTATCATGCAGTTGGTGACTGTGAGATTGGTACCACAAAGAAAGCTTGCAAGAACTGTACCTGTGGGAGAGCTGAGGAGGAAGAGAAAGTTAAGCTAGGATTGACCACAGAGCAGCTGAACAATCCTCAGTCATCCTGTGGAAGTGTAGGGTTCCAACTTTTCCTTACATCGACTGTCTCTGTTTGCCTCTGATTCTTTTTTTTTAGTCTAACTTTGTAATTCTGTCGCCCCTCTCAATTTGTGGCATTGCAGTGTGGACTCGGGGATGCTTTCCGTTGTGGCACATGTCCATACAAAGGTCTTCCTCCATTCAAGCTTGGTGAAAAGGTACTTAAGAAACCCGTTTTGTGGTCTCATTTGTCGTGTGGAGCCATTCGTAACGAAACAGGATTCTAAATGAGATCATCTTGTGTTTATAGGTATCCTTGTCGAGCAACTTCCTCGTGGCAGACATTTAAAAATGCACCATGTCGGACATGGACTTCTTTTCGAATGGCGAAGGAGTTTTTTGTCTGCTAAAATGGTATTTTCAGGTTTCTTGAGGTGGTTCAGAGAATGTCAGATGGTAAGAAGGGCGTCTATTTTGTTTGCAACGTTCAGTTGAAAGTTACTACAGATAGGAGGATAAGTGCTGTTGAACACTTTCATGTGCTGTACTTAGGTGAGGCATAACGTCTTGCCAGATTAACATGCTGTCGAATCTAGTGTACGAATGGTTCCTGCTAGTTGAAATCTCCTGTAACGAGATGACGAATTTAGATAGAGTGGGGCGAGATAGATTGAATTTGAGCTCTCTCATCACAGCAATTTTTGCTTAATTCTAATAGAAGTCCAGCGTTATGAACGTTGCCTATCTGCGCAAATAGAAAAACAACTTGGGATCTTGTTATTTCATGACCAAATAGAAAAACAACAATCAACAGTCTGCCTTGATCATCCGTGATTGGATGAATGCCCTCACGAGTCGTAACATCATCTAGTCCCGGTACATAAAAGCAAGTCTCCCTTGACCACAGAGAAAAGCCAGGAAGAAATATCCATCTGCGCAAAAATCACAGCTAGGATGATACGGCAAGTACACAGGCCTTCCATACTCGTTTGTATGCGTAGCAAAAGTCCCCTGGTAATAAGCCAGCATCGTCATGCCACCTTCCCCAGTTTTCGACGTCGAAGTGGCCGCCGTTCCCAACCCAAACCTCAACCTTACGGGAAAGCGGCCACTCATCGGTCCCTCGATCCTTTAGCGGAACAACAGTTGATCTGTTGAATGGCGTCCAAGTCGAGGTATGTCGAGCGTAATTGTAGCTGCTGAAATAATGTCCACTGAGTCTACTCTGGTTTTTCGAAAACGTTTCTTTTGGAACCTGTTGTCTTGGTATCTGGTTGATATCACCGCCGGTGTAAAAGCGATCATTAGAAATTAGCTGCCTGGACCACGAATGTTTAGGGCACTGCTCTAGTTTACCCGAGAGTTGGTCCTTTAGCTTCCCTAGTTCTTGCAGTTCGACATCCTTCTCTCTGATAAGCTCTTGTAGCGCTTCCTTATCGTTGTCGTCCTCCTTCCGTGGTGCTTGCACCGTTTCTTCATCGTCGTCATTGTCATGATCATCCTTTCTTCGTCTCAGAATCTCCAGCTCCTCCCTCAGCTTTTGTAATTTGTCGTCAGCTTCCTGCCTCAACATGTTTAGTTCATTCTCCTTTTTCTCCAGCTGATGAAGTGCTTCTTCCTCGTTCTCTTGTTCGAGCTTTGCTATTTCTTCGTCCTTCTCTCTCTGCAACCTTTCTCCTTCATCATGCATCTCCCGTTTTAGTTTTCGCATTTCTTCGTCTTTATCCTTCCTTAGCTTTCGCAACTCCTCGGCCTTTTCCTTCTTCACTTTCCGCAACTCGAAATCTTTCTTGTCGATTGCCTCTTTCATCTCTTGTTGGATCTTTCGCAGCTCTTCGTCCCTCTCGTCCGTCATTTTTTCCATCTCGTCTTCCATTTTCTCGGTCACCTTCTCCAGCTCCTCCTCCTTCTCGTTCAACATCATTTTCAACTCCTCGTATTTCTCCTTGCTCACCCCGCCGCCCACCATCGATGACTTTGGTATTTTCTTGTGCTTTGGCACGGTGTACTTCAACACCACACGCTTCCACGTGGTGATCCTTGCCGAGTACACATCGTGGATGGACCAGTTGAAGAGATCATTCAATCGGAGATAGTGAACCCCGAAGTCTTTATGCTCGCGCAACTCAGTCACGTCTTGGTAGCAATACCCTCCAGGGCTCACCATCAAGCTCAAGCGAGTCAATTCCTCGGCTAGCTTTGTGAGGGCTCTCTGCCCCTCGATCTTCCCATGACCATCGAAAAACAACAACCCTTCGTAGCATTGCTCGCCCTCAATGTCGTCATCGACCTCTCTAGTACTATTATCATCACGATCGACAACGCTGATGCTGCCGACTTCTTTCCAGTGAGCCTATCTGATAGAAGCAGGGTGAATAGCATGGTTGCTCAACTCACAGACTCTGAGGGTAGTGCTGTCAGAGGAAGAAACGAAGTGGTTGTCTGACTTGAAATCAAAGAGAACCATGCTATGCTAGCTTGCTGGTATTTTCTTTCTCGAGATGGAAGGGATAGATGTGATGGGGATGATGGGTAAAGTTAGGGTGTGGAAGCCATTATATAGCAAAATCTCCCATCCATCGACCACAATAAGTTCATATTGGCATATAATACTTTTCAGCGCATGACTTTGATTAACAAAGACCGCAAAATATAAAATATAAATTTCACAATGACCTAATTAAGAAAGACCCTAGCAGAGTAGCAGATGCATCGTCAATTTCGTGTTCACAACTAGATGACGACCCTAGAACAAGGTTTTCACCCGCTCGTCGACCCATTTTGATCCTAACCCGGTGAGAAAAACGGATCACACGCACCCGTCGAGCCGACCGCTATAAGGTACCGGGTTGGAGGTCAAATTGTGTCATTTTTTTCTTTGGTTTGCGAAATCCGCCTATTTTCCGATTTTTCTTTTCGTCAACTCAATCTTTGGAATCCTTAGTTAAACATTTGAATATTGATGTTATATAAGTGTGTGTGAATTTTCACACTATGTTGGATCTAAATACGACATGTTACTTTGGCATAATGTTATATGTTATTACTCAAATGTTAGATGACATTTGATATAATTTATCAGAATAAGTACAATATAATGACTCTTTCTATATTTCCGGGCTAAAACGGGTGACCCGTTCACCCTTGACCCACTAGCTCAACCGGGTCCGAGTCAACCCGCGGATTGACAACCTTGCCCTAGAAAGATTCACCAAAAAAAAAACATATAGAAAGACTTTGTGTATTGTATTGTTGGGTGTAGGGATGGCGCGCAATTGGAACCCGCCCGACCCACGATGGAATGGGTATTACCAGACCCACGGCAGAGTGGGGTGCGGTATGTATATCTACTTTCGACCTGTCTTGTCCCGCTCGGTCTCGTTCTTGGCCCATTATATCTCAATTTTTTTTGGTCGAATTATATCTCATTTTCTTACATTTTCTATTCATATTTATCCTATTTTGACTTTTATTCAACTAGTTATACTTGATCTTTCAACTAGTTAGACTAAATACCCATTCTATTATCACTATTTTTCATTCATAACGTGTTTTCCCTCCGTTTTATCATAAAAAGTAAAGTTATGCGTGTATTTTTTTTTCAAATAGCGTGTAAGAGTGAGTCGACCCTTCCTATTCCGTACTCGTGCAGGTATTACCCGCCCCGACCCGTATTAGCGTTAGGGGTGAAATTCTGACCCTTAGAACCCGGCGACCCATCCCGTCCCGTCCCGAAGGGTCGGGCTGGGTCAATCTGCATAGAGGGACAAGTTCGGGACGGTCTTCCCCTTCACCCTAGGGACCGGTTACTATAACAACACCCCTTGTGTTGTTATTGTAACAACACTAGTCTCCAACCAATAGGAAGCTAGGATTGTGATGACTTTTTATTAGATGAGTTGACCTAGTGTAAAATCAAAGCAGGGGTATAATTGTCATTATGAAAAATCTATTTAAATAAAAAAAATAAAAAATAAATTTTTTTTTTATTTTCTGCCCAAAATTTCGGTCGCCGGAGTTCTGCCACCGGTCGCCGGAAAATGGTCGTCGGTCACCGGAATATGCTTTTTTGTCGCCGGAATATGCTTTTTGTCATCGGAATATGCTTACCGGCGTCGGAATATGCTCACCGTGGTCGGAATATGCTTATCGGCGTCGGAATCTAGTCATCGCGGTCGGAATATGCTTATCGGCGCCGGAATCTACTCACTGACGGTCATCGGAGTTTGGTCAACGGTCAACGACCATCGGATGTTATGGTCTGCATTGTGAGATTTATGGTTTGGTTTCTCATATTTTTGTATGTCTTTTGTGGTTTGCTTTATCGTGTTTGTGGTTTGCATTAAGAAGTTTCTAGTTTGCTTTATCGTGTTTGTGGTTTGCATTGAGAAGTTTCTGGTTTGCTTTCAAAAACTTTGTGGTTTGCATTGTGAGGTTTCTGGTTTGTTTTAATATATTTTTGGTTTGCATTAGGACGTTTATGGTTTGCTTTTTTGTGGTTTGATTTACTGTGTTTGTGGTTTGCATTATGAGGTTTCTGGTGTGCTTTCGCAAATGTTGTGGTTTGTATTGTGGGGTTTCTGGTTTGTTTTAGGGGATTTGTGGTCTGAATTAGAAGGTTTATAGTTTGCATTAAGAAGTTTCTGGTGTGCTTTCGAAACTTTTGTGGTTTGCTTTGCAAGGTTTCTGGTTTGTTTTAATATATTTGTGGTTTGCCTTGCGAGGTTTCTGGGTTGTTTTAATAGATTTTTTGTTTGCATTAGGACGTTTCTGGTTTGTTATTGTGGTTTGCTTTATTGTGTTTCTGGTGTGCTTTCGAAACTTTTGTGGTTTGCTTTGCGAGGTTTCTAGTTTGTTTTAATATATTTATGGTATGCATTAGAACGTTTTTGGTTTGCTTTACTGTGTTTTAATGATGCAATTAACAACGTAATTAGCACAGGCCATTCGCGTTATCGTATAAGTTAAGTATTCAAACTGTAACGTAATTAACGTCGGTAATCTAACTCTTAATCCACATGGTAATTAATTAATTGCAGTCCACTTCACAATAGAGAGTGAGCTCACACATCCATCCAACACACTTATCATTAGAGATTCATAACCCCCATCAGTAGAGGAAATAATTACATCCCCAACTCCATTATTATAACAACCTCAACTCCACACATCATCCTTTTATTCAACTTCCCCTCTTATTCATTAACCACGCCTCATCCTGAGAGACAACCCCAAATCCGTCGAGTTCCAGATGCCGATCCTCGAACGCTCCGGCCTCGGAGAAGAAACCTGCCTTCCCCCCGCCATCCACTACATCCCACCGAAGCCCACCATGGAGTCCGCCCGCGGCGAGGTCGAGCTCGTCAGCTTCTCCGCCGTCGACAGCCGCTTCGAGCGGACAGGGCTCAAGCCCAAGGACATCGACATCCTGATCGTCAACTGCAGCCTCTTCTCCCCCACGTCGTCGCTGTCCGCCATGGTCGTCAACAAGTACAAGCTCAGGAGCAACATAAATAATAATAACAGGAATCGTCCGGCAAATCAAACGGCTCGTAATCATATAGGTCGAGCTCCTTTATCAAATCGTATCCATTGCCATCATCCCCTCGACAGTCACCGCCGTCTACGTCGTTCTTCTTGGACAGGTAGTAGCAGAGGAGCTGCTGGTCGGAAGGGTAGAACCGGCAACCCAGCGGTAGAGTGAACGGCATCTAATTCCAGCCCTTTCAATTAAAGAGGTCTTCTGCCGGCGAGACGAGACAGAGAGCAATCGCGCGGCCGGAGTAGAAAGTTGAGAGAAAGAGAAAGACAAGGCGATTGCCGGGGAATGGAATATAGATCTCGGACTGTGAGCAATTATGTTGGAGAGGAAGAGGGCGCATGAGCCGAGTAAGTCAATTAATTTAATTTTTATTTTATTAATTTTGGGTCAATGTGACCCTTTTACCCCTGTTGTTATTGTAACAACACATTCTGTGTTGTTATTCTATCCCGTCCCTTGACCCTATAAGGGACGGGTCAAACTACACTCAGACCCTAAAAAACCCACCTGACCCTAAGACCCGGAAAACATACCCGTAGAAATTAAAGAATACACTTCTCCTTCTTCATTCTTCTCGCCTCGGTTCTCACTTCTCATCGACTGAAAGAAAACCTACACCCTAAAATCTCAACCGATTCTCGACGACTTCCGTCCGGGCGTCCAGCCCAGTCGTCGCGCTTCGCTTCCTCGTCGTCGGCGCGGTTGGAAAATCCCTTCATCGCTTCACGATACCTCTTCTCCATTCTTCTCATCGACTAAAAGGGAAACCTACTGCCTAAAATCTCCATCGATTCTCGGCGACTTCCATCCGGGCGTCCAGCCTAGTTGTCGTGCTTCCTCGTCGGCGGCGCGGTTGGAGAATCCCTTCACGATACCTCGTCTCCAACAGGACCTTGGAGAAGAAGTTATTGGTCGAAAATCTGCATCAATTATAGGTATGTTTCTTCGGTTTCCTTCTTTTATTGTCTCTGTTTCAGCCCCAAGATTGGTGGTCTCTGGCTACTCTTACTGCTTTGATTTTTGTGGATTTGCTCATATATGTGTGGTCTGAGTTTGGTATTTTGGTTACCCATATATGTATGTGGTCTGGGTTTGGTCTTCTGGGTGTTTTCGTTGTTGAAAAGTGTACTCATTTTAGCTCTGGAGTCTAGAAGTTAAACAAGTTTAGCAAGCTGGTTACATGGGCAGGCTAGTTTTTCCATTCAAAAGTCATGTAAAGTTTACCTGGACAAACCAGGTCGTCAGCTATGGTCAATTTGGGTTGTGGGTATTGCTGTTAGCCTGTTAACCATTACTGTCCTCATGGTTTTGTGAGTTGCTTTCTGTAAGATCTGATAGCTAATAGTAGGTATGCTTAATTATATATGATGATAAAACCAATAGGAAATCATTGGATGGTGAAAGTAGAGGTGACGATTTTGTTTGGAGGGGAGGAAGATAGCATAGAACAGTCCAGGAATCTATCTTCTTATCTTCCATTGTTCCTCTGTTCCTCTTGCTTTGTTTCTTGTCTTCCACTGAGTGATTCTTATCTACCCCTTGCGTCAATCTTTTGTTGATGCTTGCAAGTGCTATGAGTTGACAAAGTTTCATTATAGAGTTTGTGATTTCTACTGGTTGAGTCG